AATTTTACACACATGCTCATTACACAAGCTAACTTAGGGAACAAACTAATTTAAAAATTTGGGCTCGCAACCAAGGCTCAATTCGACATATTAACACTCCTAACATACTTCGACTAGAGCATGTGAACAGATTTCGAGACATGCTAAGATTCGTTTGAATTGTCGAACCAAGAAGGTACCCTTCGACCATACTAGAGTTTAATCTAATATCTCATAAATCTCCACCTTGTAACAAACTATATAATATCAAGGGAACAAACTATATTTCTTCATGCAGCTTTATCAACTGCATATAGCAGAAGAACTTGCAACTTGGTAATGTCTTGATGATCATATCAGCAACATTGTGATCTATCAAAACCTTCAGCACTTGGACTTATCCATGCTCGATTACCCCTCTGACAAAATGCAGCCTCACGTCGATGTGCTTGGTTTGCTCATGATAGACTGCATTCTTCGGCAGGTGTATAGCACATTGAGTATCACATTTAACAGTGATAACTCGTCCTTGAAGTTTCAGCTCCTTAGCAAAACCTTCAAGCCACAATGCTTCTTTCACAATATCAAAACAATTGGTATCCAAATATTTTCTTTCATATTTCAAATCCCTGATTATGTGTAACTTATTCTTTAGTAAAATAAAATAACTAATATATACGCCAAATTAAATGTCACCGTTTATATTTATTACTCTCTGTTTTAAAATGTCTCTCGTTTAAAGTTTTTATACACAGATTAAAAAATGTAATAATATTGTATTAAAATATTGCACTTTTACTAAATTAGTGTTATTAATTTGTTGAAAATAGTGTATCAGAGTAATAATTAAATAATATAATTGAAAAATTAGCAATTATTACTATATTTAAAAATGAAAATAAAATTTATTTTTAAATAATTTTTTTTTAAAATGGTAGTTATTTTAAAACGAGGGAAGTAATATTTATTATGTATACTCCACCTGGAAATAAAATATAAATAAACAATTAAATATTAATTCTATTTGAGACGTAAGTATCAACCATATTGTATACGTGGGGGTTAAGATTTACATCACGTGTTAATCTATAATCAAGTTTCATTTTTTAAGAAGAACAATCAAACTTACAACAACATCATTTTCATTCTTGTTTTGACACACAAACATAAAACAACGTAGGTTGATAAACTCAAAATATTTGATGCTGATGGATGGGTCAAGGCAGCTTTATTAGGACCAATATTGAGATTATGTTAGCAATTCCAAATAACATGTTGGAAGAATTAGAATTTTTTACATTCCTGCCATAGTATTAGAACTTAAACCCCAAAATGCCATACTATTAAAATTAAATTCTAAAATGCCATCTTTTCAAAAAAATTCATTTTTTGGCACAACGTAATCGCCCATCCATTGGGCGGCAGTGTGATATGCTTTGAAGGGAACCGCCCATCCATTGGGCGGCAAAGGGTCGGAATTTTTTTCATTTTCTTTTTTATTTATTATATTTAATTAATTATAAATAATTATTGTTAAAATAATTATAAATAGATAATATTAAAATAAAAAAATAATTACGTAATTATAAATAATAAATTTTAAAATAAAATAATTATTAAATAGATAATATTATATTTATTATATTTATTACATTATTTTTTGTTTATTATGTTTATTATATGTAGTTAATAATTATTAAATAGATAATTATAGTAAATTAAAATAAAAATAAAATAGAAATAATTATTTTAAAAATAGTACTAATTAAAATAAATTACTACAGTGAAATATAATACAATAAATAAACTAAAATAAATATTTATTTATTCTTGAAATAAAAATAGTACATAAAAATAAATGAACTAAAAATTAATTTTGGCCCGGTCGACGTAAGCGTTGGTGGGTTCCACAGGCAGGAGCTTGTACATTTCTGGTGGACCTTCTACGATCAACCTCAGCGTTTTGGGTCTGCGTAGATGGACCTGCATCATTGTTAGGGTTCATGAATTGAGCGACCAAATCATCATTGAAATCGTCGTCACATGGTATCGATGTCGCACTTCCATAACTTAATCTTGTACCCTCGTTACTCCAAGTTGGTGGGTTTATAGGTGGCACCGCGTTAGTCATGTAGGGGGTGTATGGATGTTGGTCTTGAGAAAGGGTGAAGTTTTGTGAAGGGTAAAAAGGAACTTGTGGTTGGGGTGTTTGGTAGTTGTGTTCTTGTTGGGTAGGTTGAGAGAATAAGAATTGGTTATATTGGGGGTATGATGAGGTTGGGTTTTGTTGTTGGATGTTGAAGGGGTTTGGGTTAAATGATGTGTAAGGTTGATTGTAGTGTTGGCTTGGGGTATAAGGTGGTTGTGTTGGGTTTGGGTTGAATGGGGTGTTAAATATTTGTTGTGGGGTGTTAAATATTGGTTGTGGGGTGTTAAATATTGGTGGTTGGGTGTCATAAGTCATGGAGGGGGTGTTTTGGAAGTTTGATGAAGTTGGTTGGTTTCGAGGGTCCCACAAGTATCTATTTTGTGATAGATACAAATTGGTCACAGATCTATACCAACTCATGTATTCTCTACTTGGTTTACATTCGGCATCCATGACATTTCCTCGTAGAACAGTGCGGCGACGATTCATCCATTGTTGTCGTTCTTGTCTGTTATGGTCTCTCCAATCATCGAATTTCCATTGGTCGTTCGCTGCACTCTTGTGGTACCTATCCATGCATGTAGGTGGACCAGAAATGTCTTGTTTAATTCCGAATTGGAGTTTCACCCTATCTGAATGATGCATTTCAACAATAGTGAAAGAAATTATGAATGTTGTAGAACTCCACATATCGCTTTCAGTTGGATCCTCATCTTCAAGTTCAAGATAGGGTCTCCATCGAAACTATAACATAATTAAAAAGGGATTAGAGGAAAAAATATGGAAAGTGCTAGCAAGAAAATAAGGGATTAGAGACAATACATCATCTTCCTCAAAATGATCGAAGAACGCCCGATACCCAGGAGCACAATGATGCGGAGTTTTTTTTCGTAATTCATCCCATACGCGGACCACCTATAAAAGAAACAGTTAGTAAAAATTAGAGAAGAAAATAATATATACATAAACTTTGTATACTTACTTGGTTGCGTATGGAAAGTGAAATGGATTGGGGTTGATCGGTGACAGTCTGGGCATTATGGACCATCCCCAGGCTTGAATCAAAACACCACAACCAGCAAAATTATGCACATTTTTCATTGCGCATCTACACAAATTTCTGTATAGATGCGCTAATGTAGCAGCGCCCCAACTATAATTACTCATTTCTCTTAAATCTTCTAATAATGGTAAATATTGAAGATGTATAGTATTACCATTAGTATCCGGAAATAAAAAACACCCAAAAAGCAAAAGTAAATAAATTCTAGTCTTATAAATTTTTTGTTCCTCGGGAGACTCATTGGTTATGTTCAAGTTGCCATAAATTCTTTTTAGCCAAGTGATTTTAAGGCTTTGGCCCTTCCTATCACCTTGTTCTAAAGGCACCCCCAATAGTTGTTCCACTAATTCATAGTTAACGTTTGTGCTACCCACAACCGCTGAGCCATTGAACGGAGACCCAACAACATATGGACATCCTCAAGTGTCACTGTGCATTCCCCCGTTGGAAGATGAAAAGTGTGGATTTCGGGTCTCCATCTTTCGCACAACGCGAGAAGAAATTTGCGATCAATCCCGTATGATGTTATCTTGATGACGTGACCGAAACCCGCTTGAATCAAATACGGTAGGATAACCTCATCAGGTTCTATAAACTTATGAGAGCGTGGTTTGAAATTTTTTTCATCCTACAAAATAAAAAATAAGTAACACCATAAGTAACATCATAAATAAATTAACTTACTTTAAATAAACATAGTTATGGTGTGTAACATTATTAGAGTATAGCATAAGTAACTTACATTAATAGAATATAACATAACTATTAGAATATAACATAACTAAGTTTAAATAAATATAAGTTAACTTACATAATTTGCAATGTTTTCAATTGTACCACGATGATCATCTCCTAAGGTAAGTAACACCATTGTAAGAGAGAATTATAATTGTAAGAGATAAATGTGTTTGAAGTTGTAGGAGAGAATTATAATTGTAAGAGAGAATTATAATTGTAAGAGATAAATGTGTTTGAAGTTGTAGGAGAGAATTATAATTGTAAGAGATAATTGTAAGAGATAAATAGGTAAATATGTAGGAGGTAATTAATTGTGTGTTGGTATAAAATTAAAAAGGTAATTAATTTCTGCATGCATGCATAGAGTTTGAATTTTAGCATGCATAGGTACGTGTTCTGCTGCATGGGCGCAGAGTATTAAAGTGTTTGACCACCGCCTATTGAATGGGCGGCTGTGTGTCTTTTTAGCTGACACCCGTAGTTTCAAAGGGCGGTTGTGTGTATTTTTAGTTGACACCCGTACCATTAATGGGCGGTTGAGTTCAGACATAGTAAATGCTTTTCAGACAACCGTATTTGCATAGGGCGGTTGAGTGTAATAACTTTGACCACCGCCCATTCAATGGGTGGCTAAGTTTATTTTACTTTCACGTGACTGCATGGCTGGTTCTACTATTTCCTTCTTATAAAATTTAGTCATACAAAATATTTTTCTTCTACCTCTACTACTCCAATTCTACTATCTCAAATTCTACTCAAACAATTTTTTTCCTGCTACTACTATCTCAAATTCTACTCAAATAATTTTTATCTGCTAGTAATATCTCAAATTCTACTATATCCACATTCTACCACCACTACTCAAATATTAATATACTACGAGCCAAATTCTACTACTATCTCCACTTCATCTTACATAATGTCTAGTACTCAACAATATATTGTTAATGCCCATTTCAATGGAAGTGTTGTTGTATCAGATGAAGTGGGTTTGATTTTTGAAAACACTGACGTAATTCGTTTCGCTGTTATAGAAGATCATCATTCCAACATTTTAAAGAAAGAGTACAGATGAAGGTGCAAGCTGGATCAGTGTCACAGATGACGTACAAAAATGCCGTCCATTTCGGTGACAATCGCTTTAAATTTGTTCCACTGAAGATTCGTGACGATGAGGATGTTGAAACGATGTTCTCGAATCATGAATGTTGTGGGTTTCAGCACATTGATTTATATATAACATTTGCACAAGTTCAAGAAACGCAGACTTCTCAGGTGATCAATCCATCCATAATTCCACACGAAGATGTTGAAGAAGGAGACGGCGAAGAAGAAAACGAGGCACAAGTTGATGATTTATATACTACCTTGTTTGAGGAAGGGAACGAAGTCAACATAGATGATCAATGTGTTCCAGTTGAAAATGTATTCATCCCACCAACGCATATGACAACCCTGCCACTAAGCGTAGATGGAACGTCATTTGATTGGCCACGAAATCCTCGTTTTCCCGCGGAAGATGACATAGAAGTCGGTTACCAATTTAAAAATAAAGCTGACTGTGTCGCTGCCATTAAGCAATACCACATGAAACACTGTGTGGATTACAAAGTGATAGATTCCGACAAGAAGAGATACATAATTTTTTGCAATAATGATTCCTGCAAGTTTCGTCTCGTGGCGTCCTACCGAAAAAGAACTGAGTTGTGGGAGATATGCATTATGAACCCACAACCAGATCTATGTTTAATTTCAGACCGACATGCATCAATTGAAAGTGCATACAACAATGCGGAAAATGGTTGGCACGATCCCCCTTCAGTGCATGTTTATTGTATCCGACACATTGCACAAAACTTTATGAGAGAAATCAAGGACAGGAACCTACGGAAAAAAATAATTAACATGGGTAACTATATTTCTTAATATTCATTAAATTTTGTCAATAACATATATTATTTTGTCAATATTTTAATTTGATATTTTAATTATTCAGGATACGCTTTAAACCAGCCAACATTTCATTACTATCGGTCAGAGATTGGCATGGCAAATGCAGATGCTTTAAGGTGGATTGACAATATTCCAGCCGAAAAATGGACAAGGGCATTTGACGGCGGTCGACGTTGGGGTCACATGACTACCAACCTTGTCGAGTCAATGAATGTCGTCTTTAAGGGCACACGTAATTTGCCCATTACAGCATTGGTAAGGGCAACGTATTATAGACTAGGATCTTTATTTGCTGAAAGGGGTGGAAAGTGGAGTGCTGTGTTGAATTCTGGCCAAGCATTTACAGACAACTGCCTCAAGGTTATGAAAGAAGAAACAACAAAATCCAACACACATCAAGTCAGAATTTTTGACTACAGGAACAATGTTTTCAGTGTGCAAGAGACAATGGACCATGGTGAGGGGAAACCTATGGGACATTATAAGGTCGACCTCTTGAACGGGTGGTGTGACTGCGGAAAGTTTCAAGCATTTCGTGTCCCTTGCTCACATGTTATCGCTGCATGTTCGAATGTGCGCCACGATGCTTACGCTCTTTTGTCCGACGTTTATAGGGTTACAAACCTATTTGGGGTTTACAGCGCAAGCTTTCCAGTGATGCCATGCCATGAATATTGGCCTGTTTATGAAGGAGATCAAATTTGCCATAACCCAAGAATGCGGAGGAACAAGAAAGGTCGCCCTGTAAGCACACGTATTACAACAGAAATGAATAACTTTGATAAGCTTGAGAGGAAATGTTCCATGTGTCGTCAAACGGGACACAATCGCACCCGGTGTCCCAATGTGGGAACAAGTAGTCGTTGGTCCTTTTATTAATCATCATGTATTAAATAATATTAGTTAATAATTTCAATCAATATAAATTATGTCTTCAATATATAAATTTATATTAATATTAATAATAATGTCACATAATACATATATTAATAAATACTAATATTATTAATATTAATGTATATTAATATTATAAATATTAATAATATTAATTTTAAAATATATTAATAATATTAATATTAATATATATTATTAATAATATTATTAATACTTATATTATTAATGACATAAATATTAATATATATTAATATTAGTAATATTAATATATATTAAAATTAATATTATTAATCTATTTTGATAATAATATATATTAATAATAATACATATTAATATTTAAAAATATATATTAAGATATATTTATAATAATATATATTAATACTTATATTATTATTAATATAAATATTAATATATATTAATATTATTAATATTAATATATATTAAAATTTATATTATTAATCTATTTTGATAATAATATATATTAATAATTATATATATTAATATTTAAAAATATATTTTAAGACAAAAAAAAGAAAAAATTTGGTCTGGTCACTACCGCCCTTCCAATGGGCGGTTCACTTTAAATTTCCACACATCCACCCAATGAATGGGCGGCTACCTACAACCAAAAAAAGTTTCGTTTTTGAAAATATGGCATTTTAGAATTTAATTGTAATAATATGGTATTTTAGGGTTTAAGTTCTAATACTATGGTAGGAATGTAAAAAATTCGAAGAATTAAGCAAAAATCCAAAAACGGCTGATTCTTGGGTTTATGAAAATGTCACTAGTTGCTTGCTCATACCCTAGTGGATTGAACATTTTATCACTTTTTTATAAGTTTCTATAATCATTTTTTCTATCATAAAATATCAATTAGATTAAAAAGGGTTATAGAATGATAAAGGTTTAGTAGCAGTGGAAGGTGTGCCGCATTTGGAAAATTGAATCCTGATACTACTAATTTGCATTACTTGGCTAATAGTATAATATATTGATTATGCTTGTAGGTTATTAGATTGTATTGCATTGGGATATGGTTTATCTGTTCATCTTATAATGAACAGAACTTTCGAGAGGGTGATCATTCGAAATGATATGGAAATATTTAATTGAAAACCACAAATGACAGTAGTACCATTTATGTTTATACAATATCGACATATTAATCATCATTATTTGCTGCTCATTATCAAGGGTGGATATTGACTATTAAATTCAAGTGGTAAAAAGATCAAGTCTACATTAAAAGGTGGTGTTTTGGGCTGCTCAGGAGGCGTGTGAGGCCTAATTGTAAGCACTTGTTGCTCTCTTTCGAAGTAGCCGAATATTTTCTCAATGTTGCTCGGCTCTCTGAAGAGCGGTATGAAAGAATTCGTCTCTCCATGCTTTAGTTTACCAGGACCTTTCTTCTTTTCTTTTAAACTTTTGTTATTTGAATCCTGCTATATTATTAAACATGATTAGATTTAGATATTCATATCATGGTGCATATGTTGCTTCTAGAATCAAAGTTCATACAAAAGTGGTAAAATTTCCTAATATTATCTCAGGGTTAAAAAAAGTCCTAAAAGCTCAAAAAATGCTTACAGAGATGGTTAGTTACGTATTAGTGAGACTCAAATGTCAAACCACATTCTTGCGGGGGATATTAGTAGAACAACATGAAAAAGAGCCGTAGCATAAATTACCTTTCCTTTGGAGTGTGGTTATTAGAACATGATTTGGTTATCTATCTAAACCTTTAAAGTTTTGATGATAATAAGATAGTATTTGTGTGAGAATAATTTTGGTAATCTAACAGTTTGTTAATGTGTAGCTTTAACAGTCAGTTCTGATTTTTAGAATATGACGTTTTCGAACCTTTTGTGTTCCGAAAGTTATTTTCTCGCTGATTTACTCCTAAGAAGCTTTTGAGAAGACGTTATGTTGCTGCTGCAATGTTCTCTCTGTTTCTGCTTTTGGATGTGACTCTGATTACCAAGCTTATGAAGAATGGTAGGCTTCTGAAGTTTCTGTTACTAAGCTGAAGATTCTGAAGATTTTCAAGCCAGATGTTGACGCTGTCAAAAGGTTATGACTGAAGATTCTAAAGTCTCTGACCCCAGCTATATGTTTCTTCGTTTTCATGCTTCATCAAATTTCCACCAGAAGTCTATGAATATGAAGATAAGGATAAAATGATATGTGATTAAAATAGTACATGGTACAAAATGAAAATATTTCTTCCACTACCTTAAATTGTAGGCGAAAGGACTGTACTATTCTTCACACCTGTCACTATTCCGTTAGTGGACAACTGCAATTCTCGTATTTCTAATTTGCCCTCCAACGGTTCCTTTTTCATGTTATATAAAGAGGACTTGGAGACTTGAAGAAAGTTGTCAATTTTACAAGATTGTTTCTACGTGAAAAGCTCTAAACTTTGTACATACTTTTCTTTAAGTGTTTGTATTTCATTTGTGTAAATCTGCTTGTATAGAAGTAACTTGTAAACACACATTCTTTATTCAAACTTGTTGTTTGTATTTTCTTAAGGGACCAATTAGGTCATAATCCTTGAGAAGACATTGATTGTTTGTCTTCGTGATCTGTTAGTCACCAGCTGATGCTAGTGCATTTGTAATCAGTTGATTATACTGGATTAAATAATTGTGTATAAGGTGAAATCACCTTGGCGGATGGACTGAATTATCTTTGAGTTTCAAGCGAACCAGGATAAAAATCCTTATGTCTCTTTCATTGTTCAATCTTTTGATTGTTGAGTTTTTGAGTTGGTAAAAAGCTTTTGTTTTTAAAAACCCAATTCAAACCCCCATTTCTTGTGTTTTTCGCACCTTCAATTGGCATCAGAGCTCCGACTCTGATTGTGATAAAAAATTTATCAACACTTCACTGTGTTCAGTACCAATCCAGTTTGTGTGAGAAATAATGGCTTTTGTTGCTCCTGTTGTTAACAATGAGAAAGATCACTACAACGCTAAACAACCAGTCTTTGATCGTGAAAAATTTGATTATTTGAAAGATAGAATCTGAAGTTTCTTTCTTGGTTACGATGTAAATCTTTGGGATATTGTAGTTGATTGCTACACTTACCCAATTGATGTTGCTGGTAACAAAGTAGCAAGAAGTGCTATGACAGATCAACAAAAGAAGGATTACAAGAATCATCATAAGACTAGAAATATATTGTTTAATGTTATCTCTTATACTAAGTATGAAAAGATAACAAACAAAGATTCTACTAAGTCTATTTTTCATTCTCTAAGGATGACTCATGAAGGAAATGCTTAAGTAAAAGACACAAAGGCTTTGGCCTTAATCCAGAAGTATGAGGCATTCAGAATGGAAGATGATGAAAATGTTGAGACTATGTTCTCAAGATTTTATATGCTTGTTGTAGGACTCAAGGTTCTAGACAAAGGATACTCTACTGCTGACCATGTAAAGAAAATCATCAGAAGTCTCCCAAAGAAATGGAGACCTATGGTAACTACCTTGAAGTTATCTAAAGACTTGAACAGTATTAGTCTTGAAGAACTTGTTAGTTCTTTAAGAAGTCATGAGATAGAGATCGAGGAAGATGAACCTCAAAAGCGAGGTAAATTTGTTGCCTTAAAGTCCAAACCTGAGAAGGCGAGGGCTTATCAATCCAAGGAAGAATCAAAAGATTTAGATAAATACTCAGAAGACGACGATGAGTTGTCGCTGATTTCCAAGAGAGTTAACAGATTCTGGAGGCATACGCAAAATAGTTAAGGGAAGTTCAGAGGAGCTAGAAGAACTGTTGGTCATTTTGATTCTTCGTCTGGACAGAAGAAACAAGGTTCTGGCAAAAAGGTTATTCAATTTGAGTGCAAGGAGCCAGTTCGCTACAAGAATGAGTGTCCTAAGCTTAAGAAGAACAAGAGGCCTAAGAAGAAGTTTTCTAAAGGAAAGAAGGGGCTCATGGCTACATGGGATGACTTAGATTTAGAAGAAGAAGATTCTGAAGAGGAACATGCCAATGTTGCATTGATGGCAACTACAGCTAATCCTGAAAGTCCTGAGGCACCAGAAGCCAAGGAGCCGTCAGAATCAGACTCCCATTATGAAGAGGTATTTTCTAAACTATCTCGTTCTGATTTAGAGTCATGTCTCTCTGAAATGCTGAAAAAGTACCAAAGTCTTCAAAGTAAACATAAGGGCCTTAAACAAGTCCAAGTAGTTGCTTCTAAAACTCGTAGTGAGCTTGAAAAGGATATTTCTTCTCTAAATGAAAATAATTTTTTCTTTAGAAAGTAACAACTCTGCTTTGAAAAGCAAAATTTAAAAACTAAAGGAAGAAATAATCTCAGAAGCTTCTAGTATTGATTGCGTCATCAAATATGACAGTGCATTCCAATACATTCTAACTAAAAGCATAGATAGAATTAAAATGGCCTCCATGATCTATGGAGTTAGCAGAAATGGAAAGAAAGGTTTAGGTTTTACAGAAACTTCAAAACCTAACGAAATTCAAAAGGTATAACCAAAACCTCTCTATGAGCATTTCGTGTCTGCTGGCATTGTGCTTGACTATTCTAAGCTTGCACAAAAACCTTCACAGACACAGAACTCTATTCTAAAACCCAAGTATCATGCACAAATTCCACTTGATTATCCTGTTGCACAGGAACCTAAGGTTGTGAGGAAAAAATGAGAAAACTAACAAAAAAGGACCCAGAAAGTGGGTACCTAAGGATCAGATCATTTATGTTGCAAACATCCTTAGCAGCTCAGTTGAGACACCAATCATGGTACTTAGACAATGGATGCTCGCGACACATGACGGTCAGAAGGCATATATTCTAATATTTGGAACTTAAGTCTGGAGGCTTCGTTGGTTTCGGAGGAAACCAAAAAAGAAAGATCATTGGCTCTGAAACTATTGGTAATGGTAAAATCCCTTCTATTACTAATGTTATTTTAGTTGTGGTTTGATGCATAACTTATTGTCTATCAGT